TAAAACCTAAATTGTCATTCTAAACTTAGTATCTTTCATACTTACGGGCTTCAAGTTTCTTGGTGTGACTCTCCCATCGGAGGCACCAGTGTGTAACACAGCACTGCACAAACACCCACGGATTGGGAGGCTGTGGCTCTGGACCTCTCCTAGTCGCTCCTCTACGTCTATACCACTGAAGATGAACCTTCTCATCCTATTGTCGCAGCACCAGATGATCCTTGAAGCTCACCAGTAGAAGAAACTGGACAACCTGGCAAGCAGCCGTCACCGTCCTGGGCATCGAACTGAATTGAACTGAACCCCGAAATAACAGTTAATTGCGCCCACGTCCCCAGACCCACAACAAATAAACTGAGGGAGAAGCAAGTAGGGGCGCTTGATCGCTGGGCTGACTTATGTAACCAAATGGGTATTGACGCCCACCCAGTTGGAATCGTGCGTCTGTTTTGCCATCCATCGTCGCCGCATGCTGGAGAGCCATGATTGACTCGCTTAATATTTGCAGACCAGAAGGTCCTGGAAAACGTTCTTCTCTCCGGTAACTTCTTACGAAAGATTCGTGTAGATTAAGAATACTTTTAGCTAGGCGCTGGACGGAGTGTACATAATATTGCATTAACCCAACAAATTCATGGCAATTGTAGAATAAACGGTTTGTTCTAATTCATAGAGTCCCTCAACTGGACGATCCAGATGAATCCTTTTTCCAACAAGACGATTGCAAGAAATGGAGCTTCATTCGGGAACTAAACATATGTACCCAGATTCCTACTACGGCAATTAGTCTTTTACCCAGCTCACCGAAATACCACGGGAATACCCGGAGGATAATGCAAGTTACCCTCGGAACAGGCAGAAATTTCCAACTCCGTATTGCAGTCGTGGAAGGAGAATAGAAAATCGAGTGGGCCGGAATCGCGCCGAACACCACCACATAATACTGGATCCGAACAAAGTCCGGAAGCGGAAACCGAGATTAACACACTACCTTCCTCCACTAGTGCGGTTTTTATTACCCCACATTCATCTAACAGCACTGACGAAGGCAATTCTACAAAAGAAACAATGTTAGCCGACCGCAAGTTGGTCGGTAGAAACAACACCATATACCCAGATAGATTTCTTTGCCAAACTTATCTTTCCTTTATTTATACCAATACTCCGGGATGGAAATTCGTTGGAAAATTAATTGATTTGACATTGTTGATGTTATTGAAACCTGGCTGCCCACCGATATTTTCGAGTCTGAATTGGGTCTGTCAGGAATGTAGCTGCTCAAATGTGATCATCCCACACGAGGCGGTGGAGTGCTACTTTATCATCAAAACAATCTACAGTGTGAACAGCTTGATGTTCCCAATGCATCCCCAGATTTCTTTAAAGTGTTCACTAAGACATTCCAACGACGATAGGTGTCTAGTCGGTGTCATCTACCGACCTCCCGCATCATCAGATTCAACCAGTGAGATTGGGTTGCAAAACTTGGGGAATGCATTATCACTAAAATTCACCCATATCCTGATAATGGGTAACTTTATCTATCCAAATATCTTGAAACTGAGGACTTCCCGTCAGCTATTCCAGAGACAGTTCACAGTTCATTGGCTTGCACCCATTGTATAACCAGGTAACATAATCCACCAGATTTGGAGCAGGCCCCTTCCCTTCCAACACTGAGTTTAGTGCTGACAAATAAGGGAATGATAGTGGAATCTGTCAATGTCACGTCTTAACTAGGACGTAGTGATCATGTCGTATTGAATTTTGATTATACAGGCTACGCATCTACCCAAGAAAACCGAAAGAGCCATCAAAGAGTTAAAAAGTTGCAAAACCTGGCAGTACTCAAGCAATGGGTCCTTCAAGAAGACGATCATGATCCTCTGGTGGCATTGAAGAAGTTCACCGATTACCTTACCGAAACTATAACGGCTGTAATAAGCAGCAAAACTTGTGCAAAATCTAAAACTCGAAAGTCATTCGTTCGCAGCCAAACAAAGAAATGGATAGAGCAAAGGGACCATTCCTGGCGGGAGTACAGAAGATGTCCATCTGTCGAAACTTGAAATAATTATTCCTTACCGCGGAATCAGTGTACCAAGTTTGTACGAAGTTTGTACCAAGAAACGTTGTTTTAAAAATCCATTTCTAACTAACATATCAACTCTACAAGGAATGTGAAATGCGGAATACCAGCACTGAAATTGTCTGGACATGTTTCAATCACTACTCTAACCGTGATCCCGCCAACTATCGCCCTGATACACATCTTCCGATACTGATGCAAGTCATGCAGGCTATTGTGACAGATCCGTTGATACAGCATCTGGAGAAGCATAAGCTTTTGTCTCCATCCATGGCTCAAAAGCAAGTTGGACTACTCAGACTTGTTTTCGGGCACTTCGAAAAAACACTGTACCCACGCTTGCTATCAGTGTTCGTTCGGCCACACACGGTGTACGCCGTTCAAGTATGGAATTCATGGTTTAACCGCTACAATCAGGCTCTAGAACGTCCGTAAAGGTTGGCAACGAAGTTGGTAAAAGGTCTGTTTAGGAAGACACTCCGAATGACTGCAAATATTGAGGCTCTGCTCATCCCAATACCGCCGACTTCGAGGGGACCTAATTTGGCAACTCACATACTGCATTAACCCAATCACCCTTGCCGTTCCCTGCTGACTTTATCTCCTAAGATCACCTGAGGGGACATCCACTAAAAGTGAAGACCCAGAACAACCACCTTGATTGCCGGTGTCACTTGTTTGAAGTCAGTGTGCGGTGTATGGGATTCTCTTGCATACCATGTAGTGTGCGATCCTACAGTGGAACTATTTAAATAGCAGCTCGATAAAGTAGTAGAACACTTACCATTCCGGTATTCGTGAGCAATCATTATTATTATTTTCTCTTTGTAAAATTATTCACAAAAGAATCTATAAAAGTTCTGAGGCATGATAAGCTTCAGATTTGTTAAATCGCCCATAGTAAAACATTGACTTTGACTTGAAAGTGAGCCAGATTACGCGTACTAAAATCACATCATGGCCTTCGAAATGCGGTAATGCTGCTGCTTTTCACTGAGCATTCTTGATCATTTCCCAGTTTTATACTAAAATGTACTGTACAAGCGTTTATCCGTAGAGCTAACATTTGCCCCTTAGATGTTAATCAATTTTAAACAGCTCTTGAGTAGTGGTTACAATGGTAAGATTTGTAGACAAAGATTTATATATTTTTCTTCCCAAGAAAATATATTTTACAGTTTCAGTTGTGAAATAAATAGATTTATATTCTTTTGCACTAATCATGGGAGCGGTAAAAAGTGAGTCCGGCATGAACTCCTTTTCGCGCTTCATATTATGACTCAAATCTGTTTTTTTGCACGGCCTTGTTTCATAAAAAAAGAATTCCGACAAAAAAGTAAAGGTTTGGTTTTGTCTTATTCAAAGGAACACGTGGAATGCATGATCACGTGTGAGCTCCAGATCCGGCACATTTGAAGGTCACCAAACTGGTCGGATCGGATTGGTTAGGGAGGCTTGTATTCACCGGGCTTATCGTCTTTGGAAAAGACGAAGCCACCAAAGGTACACAATCTGGATTAATTTGTTTTAACGGGATTGCGTTGGGACTGCTGGATAGGTCAGTACGGTTTGAGCCAATATCACCTGATTGTAACAGACCTTTCAGGGTGGGTGATACTTTTATAGAATGTGCCAGTAATTGTTGCTCTGCCATTCCAGTTGGCGACAACGGGGCGATCATTTCAGATCCGATATCCGTTACACCACTGTCACTTCTAGTCGCGTCAACAGAATTGAGACCTTTGTGCACAGAACGTGTATCCGGTCCTGTCGGTTGCAATTCGTTGGTTAAATAAAACGGTGCGGTAATTGGAGGAATTTGAACGTAAATCTTTTCAGTATGTGCACTGCACGGAGGGGAAGTGGGAAAGCCTTGTCCGCAACGAAGAGTTCCCTACGGGAAAAATTCAAATCAAAATAAATGGTCAATTATACACAGACATAAGGGCCCTGTTTGCTTTGTAAATTATAATGAGAGCACGAACACATTTTAATTGTAAGCGTAACAATCCGGGTTTCGAAATAATAACAATAATATGATTTGAGCTTCCAGTTAATTCTTGATAAAAAAATGTTCATCCGTCTATAAAGAGTTGTTCCCTTCAAATTGGGGCTCTTCATTGATGCTTACATTTTTGACGGGACTTGAATAGTGAAACCTAAGGTTCAAAGCTGGGACACTTACATATGAATTCGGTCTTCCGTGGCTTCGGAGCCATTCAACTTAGTTCAGCGATACAAGNTCTTATATTCCATTATAAATGATGGGCTTTGGCAAGTAAAGTTATAACGCCGCTAGTGGGGTTTCGAATGGGACGATACGAAATTTCGGCGTGTTTTATTGACCATCTTACATGTATTTCTGGCCAACAACTTAAACCGATTTAGCAGCACATTTTGCATTTAGTAAGAAATCAATATGATGAATCACTGGAAATGTCTGGTTAGATCATTAGAACGAGATTCGAAGAAGTGAAACAGAAAACGTGTCACAGTCACTAAAATTTAATTCTGTAACATCAAATGAATCTGAACCAAGATCGTTTGCAATTACCTTGGGTGATCCTAGAAATCCAACTGGAATAATGTCACTAGGAAAAGGCGTGTTCACGGTGGAAGTTGGCAAGGCAGATTGCGTAGGAGATGAGAACCATTGGGACACGTGTGTTGGATTTAATGTGGAGGTAATCGGGGTTCGATTTGGCGCAACGCGATTCGTGTTTTCAGCCAGTGGATGTAGCGCAACTGGGGTAGTTGTGGTAAGCACGACATAGGCTGGTTGTGCGAATGGATTTTGTATTCCATCTATGGAAGTGCCGGTGGCCAATCGTGGAAGCGCATATTCGGGGACTCCGGTCACGGCACGCGATAAGGTCGAGTGCATAAACGAATCATCCTGTCCGGACACGGCTGATCGGACGGAAACACTTGGAGTGGCTGGGGTAGTTTGATGAGCTGACACAAATATCGGAGAATCCTCTCTGGCCGTTGGCGAGCAGACACGTAACTGTTGCTGCGATTCTGGCCCTTCATGCAAAGGTGTACTGTCCGACTGGAGATCCTAAATAAAAGAAGTTGAATACCAGTAATTTGGCAATTGCAATCGAAACGAACAGTGTACTTTTAAGATGTATTTTGTGTTGCGCCTACAGTAAACTCGTCTACCCGACACAGTAATAACTTCCTTGCCTCCTGTCCTGTAAACTGTCTGGATGTTATGTGCTCAGATATCGTATTGATCTCCCCTTATTTGTGACTTCACTTTACACTCATTATCTCGGATTTTCCGAATGAGACCAGTTTTTGATGACGCTCTCCTGTGTTAATTTTGAAAACACGTAAACTCAAAGAAGGTTCCCCTTTATCAAATGCACCGAGTTCAAGGTCGTCCAAAACGACACTGATCCTGAAGTTATTTTTACAGGAAGAAATGAGTACAAATGTTAAAATGCTTACTTACTGAAGAACCGTAGTTATTGTACTATTTCTCCCCAACCCCGGTAAATCTGATAATTCCTTCTCCTTCTCGATTACGAATTTTATCTTCTCCAAAGAACTAAAGGGTTATTTTGGTTGCCTACACATATGGTACTCTGATGGTGAATAGTTGGCCCTCGGGCGTTCTGTCCTAGCCATGAGAACGGGTTGTACTACTGTGACTGGTATGTCTAGATTTAATGAGGTTATTTGAGCTACGGCTCTGTTTCATTACCTACGAAAGCCTCAGGATGATCGGGGCTGTGAGTCTAGAGTTGCGTCTGGTCACCCTTCCATTGCGCCTCGTGAAATACTGCTAAACATCCAATCACCTCTATTGTGAAAGCCCTACTCGCCGCCTTCTCATGGCGGACGTGTTTTCCCACCAAAATGAGAGGCCGAAAAGCTAATATCCGGGGTTATAACGGGGTCTGTGAACCACTGGCAGTTCACATCTTGGGTTTGGCTAGACACCCTGATTCCATAATGACCAGGAATAGGCGTACGAATCGCACTCCTCCATACGTTCGTGTTTGGGCTATGGTCACCGGCTCGATTGAATATCGAGTTGTATTGGGCACCTTGGACGTTTCACCTCGTCCAAAAGAAAGACGTTCAGATGAACTGGGCCACGATCTATAATTGCTTGCGGTTTTCACACACCACCGCATTTGTGAAGTTCCCTACAGTGGACTGAGTAACCTGGCAGTATCGCATCCTAGAGTAACTAACGTAGCTTTATCCTTTTAGAAAAGTTTTGTATCTTGATTTATTCGGAACACAGTCTGAACTCAGCGCACACATGCAAAACCCAATATAGCGGTTAGTTGAACCGAATTATTTAATAACTTGGTTTTTATTTACTTTGTATAGCTTTTTTTAGGGCGTAAGAATGAAGCACATCTTTAGTTCATTTTTACCGGTTCATTTGCTATCTGAAATATTAGTCCCTGTCAATAAACGTATTTTGTGTTAACATTGTACTAAACATCTGTCTTCGACCTCATCGAAATCAATGATGCACGATTTTCGCGAGTTGTGAGTTCAACGCGTGTATTGTGGATCGACATGAACGCCGAAAGACAACCAATCTAAGTTGCATAACTCTCACTCTAACAAACAAATTGTAATATGCAACTCTGAATCAAATACGCATTTGTAATGCCCGTCAGCTTGATGCTACAGTGATATCAACATTTAACAAAGCCGTAGAAATGAGTCCAATCCATTCGGACGTGATGGTTGAACAGAGAAACAATTGACGAGGATAATTGTTCGTATATTCGGTGTCCACCACAATTTTCTAAACATCATAGTTAGAACGTATAAGTCCCATGTCTGAACTTCATCACCAAAACATACAAGAAACAACTATTTCACACATTTTATCATTTCACAGTTGATTGGCAAATGGTTTAACACTTCTCTTTTTGCAGATTGCATGAAAACAATTGAAACACTCCACACACAAAAAACAAAAAAACAAAACAAAATTAGTGATCGAACAACAGGTTTGCATTCACTGGTGGACCCCTAAAATGAGCCGTACACACGTCCGTCACGGGTGTTTACGTGCAGCGGTGCGATGAGTTGACGCCAACTAAATTGGCATCCGCATTGATTGGGGAAATGATTTTCTGTACACTTGTTTTGTTTGAACAAACTGACCAAAATGCGCCCTCTTTCCTTCCCTCCTTCTCAGACACTCACCCCCGGTCCTCGTTGATAATACATACATATATTGTTGTCGCTCTCGTTTTGGACAGACAATTACGTCTTTGATTTGTAAGTGTGGTATATGCCCCTATTCTCTATAAACTGGGCTAGTTGTAACACCTGTGTTTTATATATCAGACAGGAAAATACGTTTGAGTGATATATATATATATATATAAACACACCAAAAATGTCTCCTTCTTTCGTTTTGTTAGAAGGACGAATGGCTACACTGTGCACAAACCATAGAGATGTAATAATTAATGCAGTTGTCTGATAGACTATGGGATCTAATTGTGGACCGAATGATTAATAGTACGCTACCCCGGTCCCACTGAGTGGTGACAGTTATAGAACGTCGTGTTTGTAGATTATTACTAGATTTTCCTTGTTGAAAAAGGTGTGATTCATTATTTATTTCACGTACGTTAACACCATCGCTGAGAGAGACAAACCGGTGAGTAGAGACATCCAGTGGCCCCTTGGCAGTCTCCTCAAAAGTGCCATCGGACTTGATTGTCATCTGTCTACTTTACACATCAGTTTGTGTAAAAGAGCACAACTGCTCAGCTCATTATTCTGGTGTTTTTTGTAGAATGGTATGAAACGCAATCGGATTGATCGATTGATCTACGAGAAGCCAAAAATGCATTAACGCGGATGACAATCAGACGATTCGTGACTTAATTTGACTCCATCAAAAACCCAGTCTGCATATTTGAGTCAATGCAAGAAGGCCATATTTCAAGGTTGCACATTGAACCACACACTACGCGTACCGTAAATGTGGCTTATAATGCAGCCACATTTTCTCCAGCCGCGAACTTCATTCAGATTATACTACAGTGAAATGTGCACTTGCGGCTCTACGATTCAAACTAAGCTTGCACAATGCGCGCGCAGTTCAGATCTGTTGTCGAGGTGTTTCTGTTTCACGTTTGGTGGTGTGCCAACTAAAAGATTTCAAATTTTCTTCATTTTCCCCCCTATGATATGTTGATTTCTTCATCATGCTGATCACGTGAGCTGACTCTGAGCAACCATACTGATGATTGATGAAAAGCGGATCCTATAGTGCACTGTATCATATCGAGTGGACTAGCACATACATTTAGCCACAACAAGGAAACTTCAATTTGAGCTTTGAGTGTAACTATTTTCTTCAGAACATATGTCAGATTTCGTCAAAGATAGAGGTGCTGTCATTGTGAAACATGTTTTTTTTCAGCCGGGGGAAAAATGTGGAGCGAAGAATAACAGTGCGAAGCCATGTGAGTGCAATTGGGGTTTGCAAAGGTGTCTGGCTTATTTCCAAACTGCCAGAATGGAGCCATCCTGTAGGGTTCACATCGGCTTTTCCCACTGAGAATGTTACACGCATCAATAGAATTCAAAGTTTGTAATGAGGAACTCAAACTGCATTCTTTAAAAATTCGCTTTTTGATCCGAAAACGATGTAGAGGGATGGGGATCAAAAGGAACATTCTGCTTTTCCTTGTAAGCGAATTTTCGAAATCCGAGGCTACTGCGAGTGATGTTCAACTGGGAACGCTCCTCGTATGTGTTGTGATCAAATGGTACCACGGTCTGCTG